ACATCCTCATCCTCCTTTTTCTAGAAACATTTAAAACAAGCTCAGAGACTTAAAATACATTATTAAAAATAAGTCAGAGTACCTGAGAATGAGAGACAAGGGAATGGAAATGTGTACAATATTTGTTTACTTCATAGTTTGCACCAATTACAGATGAAACTGTTCATGTTATTTTATTTCTAACAGGTTTACATTGCTGCCTTTGCTATCTCTGGTTACTCCACTGCGACGTTCAGGAACCGCTACAAGCCCTTTAACCCGGTGCTGGGGGAGACTTACGAGTGCGTCAGAGAGGACCGGGGCTTCAGCTACATCAGTGAGCAGGTATCTCAGGAAGAACTTCACCAACACATTTATTACAGGATATCTGATTCAGGAAGATCTTTAAGAGCTCTGAGTGGCCAATCACCATTTATCCCCCATAATCCCCCTTAATTAAGATGGATCACCCTTGGTGTAATGGAGCAGCTCAGACACACAGAGCTGCACAAATCAGCAGAGTGATTTATGGCTGTAATAAAATAACGGTAACTAATCATGTTATTAAAAATTAAAAACACATCATTTATCGTGGAGTGAAAATTAATTAAATGACTGTCCTCAATGAAGCAATTCATCTCTACAACAGTATTTTAGTGATGTAGCTCTTAGAAAAATAGAATTTCAGGGAGGCACATTGACATTTAGGTGACTTATTATACAGTCATAATTGTGTATTTCTTATAGACTAAACACTTTTGACTGTGATACACATTTATCAGTTAAGCAGTTAAGTATCATGATACAATGGCTTCTGGTAATATCATTGATTATAATTCCTGGTATGTGGTCAGAATTAACGCTTCAATTTTGTATTATCTACCATAACAATAAAGGCTCTTTATGTTGTAATGCAGGTGTTACCAAAGCCACTGGTTAAATAATTGTGGGTAATGTAGTCCTCAGGTTTTAACACAGAAGGCATGACATAAAAAAGACGATATCTCTGATTCAGCTTTTGCATTTGCTGCAGCACCAATTAAGGAGCGATGCTTAAAAACAAACACAATATAATGTGTATCTCACAAGTTTACAAGATCAACTCAAATGATAGCTAGTGTCAATACAATGCGTTCCCTCTATAATACTCATGAAGTATCATTTGTATTATTTCTTTCTTCACCAGGTCTGCCACCATCCCCCCATCTCTGCCTGCCATGCTCACTCAGAGAACTACTCCTTTTGGCAAGGTGAGAGTCTTCAGATTCCTAATTAGTTTCAGTTAGTCAATCTAATGCCAGGCTTACAACACTTGTTTATTTGAATTCCTAAACAGACCAGCGATGGAAAAATAAATTCTGGGGGAAGTCACTGGAGATTCTGCCAACAGGGATGGTGAATGTGACTCTGTCAAGGTAAACAGATTAAACCTGGCTATCTGTATTTACTACGTGGCCTCTGTTAGATGAGGCATGACACTGACTAGACCTATTACATGTCATGGATTAAATGTGAGATGCACCATACTTTATGTGAAGCGATCAAGGTTATCTACCATTGGAAATAAGTTGAGATCAATGAGACATGAAATACCTTCAATGAGTATCACTGTTTTAAAATACAGTCAGGATATCCCTAAAAACATCCATCCATATTTTTCTCATGGCTTCCAGAGCCAAAGCGTTTAATATTATGATTTCATAATCTTTGGGATTATTATTTGTTATTTTCAACTTTATTTGACAGTTAATAGTGTTGAGATAGACAACTTACGGGGGAAGGAGAATGTTGGAACACACAACAAATATCCCTGGCTTGGATTGAACAAGGGACAATATAATAAATGATTTTGTCCCAGAAATTTAAATAGCATACATGTCCATTGTAATTTTCAAAAACGCAACATGTCCTCTTCCGATTGGTCATTCTGTCCAATCAAAAGCCAAAACAGTGAGTTAATCAATTGATATAATGGTATAAAATGATGTAGAACAACGATAATGATACAAAACAAAAGACACAAACAATTCACATATTTTGCCCCTTTTCTTTGGTAAAATACTCGATTTTGGTGTTGTGTCCAGGTATGGAGATCACTATGAGTGGAACAAAGTAGTGACCTGCATCCACAACGTCCTCAGTCAGCAGCGCTATCTGGAGCATTACGGAGAAGTCACCATCAGCAACCTCAAAAGCAACGTGTGCACCTGCAAGATTACCTTCGTTAAGGTGAAATCAAAGACTTCCTGGATTACTCAGTCATTTTTAGTTATTGCAAGCGACTTTTCTGTGTTTCGTTTCACAGCATATCTCAGGCTTTTGACATATTTGTATTCTGTTGTAGTCTCGTTATTGGGGTTCAGACACGAACAAGAATGAGGTGCAGGGCACGGTGCTGGACCAAAGTGGGAGCATCATTCACCGGTTTGGAGGTCTTTGGCATGAAGGCATCTTCTGCGACACCCTACCTACTCCCAAATGCGTCTGGAAGCCAAGTGAGTCTTTGTTCTGATCACATGATTACAACATGTTCGTCCTTGAGGTTTTTCTTATGTTGCTTAGATTCTGCTTTAGACGTTGAGGGTTTAAGTGGAAGTGACCTGAAATAATCAAGCGTCCTGTTGCCTTAACTGCTAATCAGTGTAAATCCAGGTGTCACATTCCTGGAACAGTTCACCTAACAGGCTTCTGTCCCCTCACAGATCCCCAGCCGAAGGATCACCTGATCTACTACGGCTTCTCGGACTTCGCCATGGATCTGAATGAACTCCCCCCAGACCTGACGCCCCTCCTGCCTCTCACAGACAGCCGCCTGCGCCCAGACCAAAGGTGAGCAGAGCTAGAGACCTTAGAGCAAAGAAATGCACAATATGTTATTTTCCTAAAGTGGATTCATGGTAAAGTTATTCTTTAAATTCTTTCTCTTTTTAAAAGGATGCTGGAGGAAGGACATTTGGATGAAGCAGAAGCAAAGAAAGATGTTATAGAGGAATATCAGAGGGAGCGAAGAAAAGAGCTCGCCAAAAGGGGGGAAGAACATATTCCACGTTTTTTCAAGTAAGTACATTTTAATGATTAACTACCATACCATAATTTCTTACTGTTATTATTAATGCTAAATGTTCAAATCTAATGTTTGGTTCATGAATTTCTATACATTTGAAGTACTTTTATCCGAGTCTGGGCTTTGGCATAACAATTGGTCTGAAAATGTGTTTCATGGGTACATGGTATCGAGCACAAACTATATAACGAGGCCTGCAATGTACTATAACTTTTAGGGCCTTTAAAAGATCCGAAAGCAATGAAAACTGTGCATTTCAATGTCCAAGAACTCGAGGGGATTTCATGCAATGTATTGTTTTGTCTAACCAATAGTCCAATCCCAATAATAATATTGTGATAACCAATAAAATAAAGAAAATACTCAATTGAGAATCTTGAATCTATTACAAAGCGACACACACATTTCTTACAATGTTCCTGTGAAAATAGATGAATGGCAATAAACTCCAAGTTTTTCATTGAATATTTTCTTCTTCTTCATCAGGAAAACCAAAGACTCCTGTGGACGGGATGTCTGGCTGACAAACGGGACGTACTGGAAGGTCAGAGAGAATCCAGGTTTTACTAATGTTGACAACTTAACTGTCTGGTGATCAGACAACAGAGACAATCTAAAATGCCAGATAAAAGACAGGTGTGAGAGATGTTGGACATTTGGACAGCATATATGAACCGCTCTGACAAACGTGCAGGGTGGAGATAGTGCTGCTGGCCTCTCCTCACTCCTTGGTGTGTTCCCATGACCGGCTCATGGGAACCCTCCGTCAGACCCCCCAGGTCGCCCAGCATCAAGTATAGGTGAATGAACATTTTTTAATGCATTTCAATATTCTTTTTAGACTACTCAAGCATACATCTATTTTTGAGAATTTTACAGTTTTAGGCTGAATGTGTGAAGAACACTCTGCATTACTTGAAACAAATGACTTGAAATACATTTCTCTATCAGGTTGACAGAATCAAACATTGAATCAAATGATGTCCTCTTCTAATGATGAGTACAATTGTTTGACTTTGTAAATGTTCATGTAAAGGGTACAATTGGTCTGTTTTATTTGGTATATTGGATTTTTTGCAGGGAATTTGCACCTCTAGAACAATCAAGATGAGAACATTATACCTGCAGATAGTTATAATCTGCACCCCCCCTTGGCTTTACGGAGCTCTATAGTGCGTCTGACAACTTAACTGTTCTGTTTCACTATCACTGCTCTCATGGTGTCACGTTTTCAGTGTAACCAGAAAAACACATTTGAAAAAGTCAACTTGTAACCTGTCTAATAAAAAACATGGCACATTTCCTATATACATACAGTACACCATATTTACCTTAGATTTGATCATGTGTCAATGTTCAAGATGCAGGCAAGTGTCCCAAAAAATGAATTCTTGACCGATAGTAATTACCCATCTTGTAGGCTAATCCAGCCACAGCTACAGTATATTTACTACCAATCGGTGTGCTGACGTAATGCATTTGAAGTATTCGAAATTGGTACTTGTGACTTTTACAATAATGATCAAAACAGCCTACTTAGAAGGGGTAATTGCAAAACCTCTGGGCTTTTCCTTAGATCATATGAATGTCAAAGTCTAACATCTAATTTATTTATTTTTGAAAAGCAAAAATAAAACTTCAGTGTGTACTCATTTAAAAGAGGAGATAAGATATTTTACTCTATTTTTATGTCATTATTAGCGAATAATATCCAACTGGTTGGAAACATGTAGATATTTATAAAGTAACATCTTATCTGTGTTTTAATTTGTCTGTGGTATCAATCTATTATAACTGCACATCACTGCAGATACATGTATACTCATGGTAAGTCAGACTTTTGTTTGAAGTTGATATTATGGCACAAGTTAATTCTCATATAATTTACAAGGTGTTTTTTTTTGTTAATTTGATCAAACGTTCTGCTTACATGAAATAAAAAGATCATCAAAACAGCTGAGATTTGTCATGTCTAAGCTTTAATTTCATGAATAAAAAACAATACAATAAACAATTATGCCACCTTTTAATAAATAACAATTTTCCCTTCTTCAGGAATCTTCCTCTCTTATTTTTGCAATGTATAAGCGCTCAATGAAAGAGTCGGAGGATTATTGCTCCCTCAACATGAACAGTGCACATGGATCACACACAAATAAAATAACATGCTTGTTGCTTGACCTTGTCTGTTCTCCCTTCTTCACTCCTATTTCTATTTTGTACAGTAAAATCTCTGGAAATACAGTTCCCACACCGTTTTTCTCTTACTGAAGGAAATGTGTTTGAGGGAAACAAAGACTCATGGGAAAATGGTGGTATTTAGGGTTAAACACCAGGGATAGCTGATTGTAAAAGCTGATATATCCAGCAGGGGTCGTTCCTGAGGCTTCTGAAAGCATTTTTCTGCTGTTTGATGGGAGATCTTGCACTCATGTAGGTGCAGGAGTTAAAACCACACAACCAACCACAGCACGTAAAAATAAATAACTGACATCGTCCACAGGCCAGAGATCACTTGAATGTTTCTGCAATGCCATCATTAAGTCTAAACTAATTTACTTTCTATTAATTGCACTTGAAACAAGAATTGTCGATAGGTTTACCTTCATACTGTAAGGTACATCAAGAATCATCACCTTTTCCTCTGTTTGACGTCAACATAAACATTAAATAGTAAATCTATTGGAAACGATACACAAGCAACATACAATATATTCTGTTTTCAGCATAAAATCAGCAATGGCAAAATCATTGCCATTTAACTTTGTTATTTAAATGTTCAGGTTAAGGGCTAAACTGCCAGACAGTTTGTCCTTTTTGCATCAAAATTGTGCTCAGATCATTTTGCCAAGTGCTGCAGTCCCAGTATTTATATAATGTTAATGTAAAACCAGCAAAGCTAAGAAAAGAGCTTGAATGTGAAACCTTAAAACAGGGGCACAGGATTTAAAAAATATATAGAAATACTGAAGTCAGTAGGAGTCCAATCCAAAAGGGCTGCCTTCAAATAGTGACCAGACACTAAACACAATGTTGGTCAAATGGTGTAATTATTCAGATTATCCAAAAAATAATAAGACAATTTAAAATCATTAATGTTTCGGCAGATTTACCTACATTAAGGTCTACATTTAATTTGACATATAATTTCCCTGTCAGAAGAACTCATTGATTAGTTTAACTTTTGTCCCGTGAAGTGTCAATATATTATGTTTAATAATATTGTATGCAAGTTCCAAATGTACACATTGAACTCCCCTTAGTCCGCAAGGCCTCTAAATTGACTGAAGACATTTTTTATTCGTCAAACATGAAGGCTTTCAAGGAATAGCTCCATATTAAGTCAAATAACCTTACTATTTGTATGACTGAGAAATTAGAAGATTATAAACATTCTTAAGTCTGTAGTAAACCAGGAGGCAGTTAGCTTAGCATAAAGCAAAAAGACAGGTGAAAGAAGCTAGCCCTGCTGAAAAAAACTTTACCAACCGACTGCTCTTAGGCTCACAAATAAATGTTTGGTACTGTTTGTTTAAGAGTCTCAAAAACTACACTGTGTGCTTAAAGCTTGTTTTCAGGAGTTGATGAGTTGTGCTAGCTGTTTCCCTCTGTGTATGACAAGATAAACAACGATCCTAGCTCAAGCTCTTTTTGTTAGCATATGTGAGTAGCATCATGCTAACATCTTAAGCAACTCTTTAGGTAGTATTATGTTTTGTTGTCTGGTTAATTTCAATATTGTAGATGAAGCTACATTGGCTATCTCCACACTTCATATTTCAAACAATTGATGTATTTCACATGCAGATGAATGGTAAACAAATAATTTAAACCTCTGAGGGGATATTAATGTCGAAATTTAGGAAAACTTGATGACGCATTGAGGAGTTTAGCATCAGTAGGCCATAGGCTATAGGTGAGTGATTTCAACATAGTGGCTCGGGGAAACATATATTAAACATTTGACCTGGCATAAACCATTGTTGATAACCTAGAACTGTGAATGTGTAATTTAAAAACCATATTCAACTCAGTAATAGACACACTGCAATACTACACCATTAACAGATTACGGGAGTTTTCGTTTTTTAGGTATTTTAAGCTTGCAGATTTTATTTTTTATTTAATTTCTCCCTCAAAAAAGACTAAAGTAACCCTGAACTGCACCGAGCGAGTGTCTGCCTGTCGCCTCCAGTGTTGTCTGAGGCCAAGCACACCTGGTGAGGAATGAGGAGCAGATCTCTGATCAGCGCCGACTGAGGCCTCACTCTTCATTTCTGTCACCAGGTTGGGAGCCGGGACTCTTGTCAACCAGTGTCACAACATGATGAGCCCGAAGACTAGGGGGGAAATGCAGAGTGCCTGTCTGGTCACTTTGTGCTTCCTGTTTATCGTGGGTCTCAGGGTGACAGTGCCTCGTCTTTTACCTACAGGTAGTCATTCTGAATGACCCACTTTTCACTTGACAGCAGCTCTGTTGCTCTGCTACTACTGTACAGAAAGGGTTTGGGAAGACTTGCAGCTCTACAGCAAAGAAGATTAAGATGTTGTAAATAAATTTAACCAGACGTAAAAAAGTGACTAAAGATCTCTGTTTGTCTCCTAATCCCGAGTTCAATCTCACTCAATTGTCCGTTCCAGCTCCTTTATAGTCAAGATGGCGTCTACGATAATAAAAACTGGATGAACTAATAAAGGATTCTGTCTAACTTTAATTACTCATATAACATTTTGGTTATGGAATCGATCAACAGATGCTTTGGTTAAAAAATGAAACTAACCTTTCAGTTTTTCAACTACAGCAATGGAACAAATGTGGCCTGAACCTGAACCAACTAGGTAAGAATTGTTTTTAGCCTACCCGCTAGCCGGAAATGCCTTTCAAAACTGGAGAGGATGTTTTTCACTTGCATGAGGGGTCCGCAAGTCATTTACGTAACATACTAGGTATTTCAAAATACAGTATATTTATCAAAGGAACGATGGGATGTCTTTGAGCATACAGACATGTGTGAGGGATCAGCCTTAGACAGATATATGAACGCACATAACTGAACACATTATTACTAGGCTCAGGCCTGGCTGAGATAACACTGTGGTTATGTTCATCTACAGTGTGTGCAGTTTATGTGTGTTTTAAGCTGTCACACTTCTGTCTGCCAATACTGTTTTCCAATTATGTCGTCATCAATGCTAGTATTGATTTTGGTCTTTATTTGTGTGTGTGTGTGTGTGTGTGTGTGTGTGTGTGTGTGTGTGTGTGTATGTGTGGTGACAAGAGCATTAGCAGATTCATTCACAACACTAAGAGGCTAGGCCTTTGTTATTTGAGGCCTTTTTTCCCTTGATCGAAGCATTAGCTATGATACATGCTTGAATGCTTCAGAAACAACAAGTAACTTTTCCATGCTTGATTAACAAATCTTAAAACTTGTGAAATTCTATTAAGTTTCCTCCTGCCCAGGGTGTCGTCTTTAAATGTATCTTTTTGGCAAAAATCTGAAGAAATTCAGTTCAAAGTTATACCAATGTTACCACCCATTTAACCGGCTGTTAACTTTTGAAGCAGGTGACATATTAAAGAATGTCTATTCTCTTAAATAATTCAATATCAAAATTGTTTTTGGTAATTAATTTTAACTGATTAATCGACAGCTCAAACAAAGCTATATAATTATTTATTTATTCTATAGACTCCCTTTTTATACATCTGTTTGTACGTTGTTAGGTGAGATTTTATCATACAGTTTAAACCAACATTTTGATATTATCTGTCTCTGTGTGAGATGTATTGCATTGTGTTCAGTTAAAAGAATCAGAATCAGAATGGACAGAAAGGACTTGCTATTTCCGCTGTGGTCGCTGATTTACTTAGCTTTAACACACACACACACACACACACACACACACACACACACACACACACACACACACACACACACACACACACACACACACACACACAGATTCGGGTAGATTAGGCTTCAGGACATGTGCTAGCTAAACCTTCTTAACCTATTGACAGTGTTCTCTTTACCTCTGCACTGTCATCCTGCAGTTCTTCTCTGTGGACGCTGGTGGGCGCTGCACTAAACAAATTGATTTGCAGAGAAGACTGTGAGTGAAATGTATTTTCTGCTCAGAATCATAAGGGGAAATGACCGTGAGCATATTGTGAGAGTATGTGTGAAAGGTTGAGGGTGAGAAAAAGGAAGAGACAAGACGGAGCAGAAGAGACCGAGAGAGTTTGATGCAGAAAGAACAGACAATACCTGCAGGCGACTGTCAACAAGTAGATATGCAGATCATTTCCCCCCCCAAAATCTATAGATGTTTCAAAGGCTTAAGTCACAGGTCTGTTTGTCTGTATGGTGTTTATGTGACTCTAGGCTAGTTTCCCAGTCACATCCACTTCTGTTCAATTTGACAGCAACCTTGAAAGTTTTTCCTGTTATCATCTGACACTTTTGAGGGGGGACTCTGGTGTTTGTCTGTCCCAGCCCTTCATCAGACCAGTGCATGTTCATGAGGGCGGTGTGGGCAGCCCTGGGAGGTCTTCAGTGAGTGTAGTAGCCATAGTAGTCTGCATCAGTGTTGCTGTCCTTCTCGCAGACCTCCCCACTGCGCGGAGGTGGGGAGTTTTCAGTGCTGGAAGTGTATGGCGACACCCTTCTCTTCTTGTTGTCGCCCACGCCGCCCTCATAAAGGCCCGAGTCGGCCGAGGCCGCTGATTTCACAGAGGGTGGCTCCAGCCAGGGGTCCTCGGACACCACCTCCACAGTGTCTTTGGGCTTGTCCTGCAGCAGGGCTGGCTGCAGAGACTCCAGGAGCGAGGGCGGGTGCAGTCTGGGGTTGCCAGGCGACGTAGAAGAAGATGAGGACGATGATGAGGACGATATGGGTCTGAACCAGCCCAGGCTGGGGCCGGGTTTACTCTGGTGGCTGAGGTACTGAGGGGTGGGCCGGCTGGTGGGCCGGCTGGTGGTCCAGCCCGCCGGAGTGGCTCCTGATACAGACACGCTCGTAGATGCAAAAGGGAGGTCTGGGTAGTAGCTGAGGGCATGGTGAGCGGAAGTCTGCAAGGGGAAGGGTTTGTAGAACCCGTTTCCAGAGAAGTCCCCCTCGTAGGAGGAAGTGAAGTCAAGACGATTGGTGGCCACACCCTGCTGAGGCGGCAGGTACCAGCGGCTGTGAGGACCCGGGCTGGAGGACGGGTCTTTGTGCTGCTGGCCCATACCGAGGGGCTCGCGGCCGTAGAAGCGGCTCTGAGGAAGAGGGCTCATGTACTGCTCAGAGAGGTAGCCTTGGGGGTAGCAGCTCCCTGGCAGCAGCTGCTGGGTCTCAGTAGGGGAGGGGGTGAGGCGATCAGAGTCAGGAGGAGCATACAGCCTAGGCAGGAGGGGAAGAGACGAGAGTGTGAGAAGAGAAGAAAAAATAAGGTGTTATTTCCTGCCCAAACCTCAAACCATCTATCAAACATCTCACAGCCCCTCACACCCTCACACTGCAGCACGCTCGAGCAGAATTGCACCTATTCTAATATTTAAAGGGAAACACTTAAAATGCACCAGCAATAATTTAGCAAAGAAAATGCAAGGTTCAATAAACAAGGCAAGTACAAGAGTATGTATGTTGTTTCCTCAAATCTAGCTTTTTTAAATAGTTGACTTACGTGTCGTAATTGTCGCGGAAACCTTTAGCGAAGGGGTTATGGTCTATTTTCAGCTGAGTGATCTGTGTAAGGAATAGGAGGAGGGCAATGAGAGAATGTAGGCTTAGGAAAAAAGAGAAGCAGAGAGCAACCACACAAGAGAAACAAGTGAACAGAGACAGAGGACGTCATTGAGTAATAATTAATGAGGATAAAAGGCAATTGGAAAGTTTATCTTTAGAACACACCATCATACAAACAGGGTGAGTGTATGCTTTGGATTAGAGTAACTCTTACACAATGTATTTGAACAGCTGTTATCGATATATACAGCACATATTGTGGAGCTACATCAGGTCAAACAAGGTGAAGTGACTTTTAGTTGAACTCAGCCACTATATAGTAACTGCTGTGAACACTTACAGTAGATTGTAGGATTGTTAATAAGAGTGTGTGCATTTTCGATGCGCACATGCATCAACCAAAGCTTCTATTTAAGCATGACTGTAACATGAATCATTGAACTCTATATAAATAAGATGGTGGAGAAGAGATGCTGTTGTGAATTCAGTAGATCTTGCAATAAACAAGTGTGGAAATTAAATAAATGAAGTTTCCCTAATCATAGGTAAATCCGTGTCAGAGTGGATTTAACATAAATTCACAATTACAAAAAACTACGAATAAGACTTACATCTGCATTTTGATAAGCGGTGACAGCGATGAACTGATTCTCGGGGAAGATTAAGGTCTTAGCTTTGGATGAAAGGAAGGGGTCTTCAGAGCCGTCCTCCTTCACCTCCACGATGTGAAGGCGAGGCTGGTACTTATGGAGCGACTGGAGCACGATCATCTGAAGAGGAAAGACAGGTATTTTTTACACCTTTTGACAGAAAATAAATTATAATCAAACAGGAAATGTAAGGAAAACAGAGAGAAAATAAGGCATTTGGCTGGATCAAACCAAGTGTCCAAGGAACCTAATACTACTAATCTTATTTGTGTATATTTCAAAAGTTTAACACAAATCAGTGGTCTGTTAATATCATGCATTGACACAGAATTATGAATGAAAAGACAAAAGGCAAAGAACAGGAAATTGTACCTGTCCAACATTATTGGTGCTGCCCTTGTTGTTGGTGAGCTTGAGTTTGCTGAAGGACACTTCCTGTCTCATCCAGTGAGCTCCTGTGTTGGGAGAGTCAGGGTGCGTGTACATCCGGTTTCCTGTAAGTGCAAAAAAACACCATGAGCCATATGTATTACATTTTGAGAGTATTTTTATTTTTTTGCCCATAACACTGTTATAAACAGTGTAGTTATAAAAACATAATTATTGATGCTTTTGGAAACTTGCATAATTTTCAAAGATAACAAAACATGGTATTGCAATGATTTGTTCTCATTTAAAAAACAGCAATTTTCAAAGACACAAGAACCGGATAAAAAAATCATTAAAAAAGAATTCATTGAAATAAATAAAATAACAGTAAATCAATAATAATAATAATTCTGATAATTAAAACAAATTGGAAATATATATGTCAATTTTAACAGCTGTAAATAATGAACAAGTTATTTGATGCTAATATTTGTCCAACACAATACATCGCTCTTCTTGGTTGATTAAGTTTAAAGGGTGGAATGTGAGGAGCTGTTAAAAACAGTCCATTATGTGACCGACAATCAAATTCATCTCATTGGTTGAAATTCCATAGTTTCCATCCCTTTTATATTTAATACATATTCTTATTGCAGGATATTATCACAGCGACATGATGTCTCACAGCCTTACCACAATGGCCTTGCTAACCTTTTACAATCAGACCACATAAATGAACTATTAAATATAATTGACAAAAGTTGTTTTACCACAGTTTCCACAACTGTAGCACATCAGCAGTCACCTTTCCCCAACACATGGCATACGTGTGACAACACCCTGTACTTTCTCTTTTATTTCTATAAATGTGGCTAATCCTCAATCACACACAACATTTAACCTTGGCTGACTATTGTGTTTTTTTCTACGAGGTGTGAACAGGAAGAAATAGTTGTTAAACGAAGAAATAGTCACAGAACGTAACATGGATTGAAGTAGAAAACTGCTATAAAATATCATCTATCTCCAGTATGCCATCTTTTCATGGGCTAAGAATATCCCAAATACTTAATTTATAAAACTGTAAAGAAACAATAACAGGTAAGCAAAAACAAAAACATGGGAGATAGAAGAATTTCATTGGGCATCTTCTAAATTTGAACATTAAGAAGCAATGTTGATACAAAATCCTGTAGATTTATTTCATAGACAATTTGCGATCAAACACAATTTAATTCTGATTGACAAACTTTCTCAAACCTAGTTTTGCATGTCTGTCATGCAACAATAGTTATTAGCTGACATATGTACTGATAAAATACATATGCAATAACTTAATATTGGCCAATATATAATATATATGTCTGGCTCTTTTTGAAACTTGGTACATCGAATAGGCCATGTTTTATGGAGTTGATAACATCTGCACTAAGGCCCATAAAGCTTTTTTTTTATTTAAAGAGGTGGAACTCTTTAATGCTAACGTTTTTTTTAAGCTAAATGCATTCTTAAACTTGATTTATTTCCAATTATTTTAAGTAATTGATGCTTCTTTCTCCACCTTCTTATCCAACACCAACTTTCACAGTCTCTGTCCCTCCCTACACCCCCCTGGACGCCATTCTCCATCCATCCACCAGATGCCCTCAGACTTTTCCGACCTGTTCCAGTCACCTGACTCTCTGCTTCACCTGCTCACCTGTTTTCCCTCAACAGCCCTGCAGTATTAACCGGCCCATTTCCTCTTGTTCTTGCTTTTTGTTTCCTGTGCTCAGAGATCGGGTTCTCTTCACTGCCAACCTGTTGTCAGCCTGTAAAGCCCCTGTCACACTGTCCCGAAATTGACACCCGATGGACACACGAATATGGAATTGTGAATTTCGCACGAAGATGGCCCCGAACCACACACGAAGGCAACATTTACATTACATTTAAGACATACAACTGCAATGAAAGTACCAAAAACAATTATGTTACAGTACTATGATACTGTACTGATATCTTCAGACTTTGTTCTTTACTTTATCTGTCTTTATATGTAGAAAATATTACGTTTTCTCCGTAATGTTGTTTCCGTAGCAACAACAACTTCCTGTCAACTCTCCTTCAAAATAATATATGATATCCTTTTTAGTTTCACAGAACACAAATTGGGTTATTTACATAATATGTTTACATGATTTTGTTGTGCAATAAAACAACCCGATGGACACACGATAAAGGACATGTTCAAATTCGGCTCTGATCGTAGCAACATCGGGCCATTCGTGACTGAGGGCATCTTAAGGCCCTGACACACCAGGCCGATTTCGGCTGTTTTCGTAAGTCGGGAGACGAAGCGTGTCCTGTCGCCCAAACTCAATTTGGTGTGTCCCGCACCGTCGACCGTGACACGCCTTATTTGGACTGCCTGTCCCGATGCATGGCCGATTCAACATGTTGAATCGGCCATGCATCGGGTCTGGCAGTCGGACCAAACAATCACTCTGATTGGCTGTTCAGCTAGCGAATCAGTGCATGAGAAGCGAAACGGAAGTGAGGGACGTAAACAAACGATTTAAGAAGGCACACACAGACTGATATTCATTTTCATCTCATCATGGCGATCTGGAATGACGGAAACGAAGACCTGCTCATCACATTGATCCAGGAGAGGCCAGCTCTGTACGACATCACAGAGAAAAGGTACTCGAACCGAATAGTGAAAACCGGACTCTGGCGAGAGATTGAAACGCAACTTGGTTTCTCGGGTAAGATTATCTTTTTCATCAATTGAGCTCTTTAGCAGATATTGTTGGCTTTTTATTGTTTGCCAGCGTACAGTGACGTTAACGTGAAATGTAATTTGTTATTTCAACCTTGTGTTTTGTTGTTATCTTGTTGCTAGCTGTGCAGTTTGGCACTGCATATAGATATGAATTGGACATGCTAACTAGCCACAATGGTTACATCGTTTATTTGTGTGCTTCAGAGAAAGAGCTGAGGAAGAAGTGGGATTCTCTGCGAACCCAGTACACCCGGTACAGGAGACTTGCCCCTTCGGGTAGTTGTGGAGCACCAAAGGCGGGCAGACAGCAGTGGATCATAACCAGGCTGCAGTTTGCACACGCTATTTGTTGTTGTTTATATCACGCAGTCTGTTCTTCTTCTCTGTCTTCCGGTTGTTGCCTATTTTTAATGACGAATACACACTACCGCCGCCTGCTGGTAAGGAGAGTTATTGCCACTCACGCACTGAAGTCTTTGCGGTGTGTTACCGTGCGACACATGGCCAAGACGCAGGAGAACACCGTGACGCAACAGCTGACGTCGGCGTCGGCGAGTCCTCTGGTGACTGCTTGGTGTGTCAGGGCCTTTAAGCCTTCGTATGACCGCCGGTGGAGTTTCTCAGGCTCCGGCAGCAACTTCGTGAGCGGTGGCAAAATCTTTGGCATGGCAAAAAATTGCCGAAGGACCTTGCGAAAGTTCATTTTCGTGTTGAATTCGTGTGTCAATTTTGCCCTTCGTAAGGCCATCGTGAGGGCATCTTGTTATCATCGGTGCCATCGGGCATTCGCCCCGATCAGAGTGAGGGCGAATGCACCGATGATAACACGAAGATGACACGATTTGACAAGATGCCCTCACGAGTGCCTTACGAAGTTGCCGCTCACGAAGTTGCTGCCGGAGCCTGAGAAACTCCACCGGCGGTCATACGATGGCTTAGATGCCCTCACGAATGGCCCGATGTTGCTACGATCACAGCCGAATTTGAACATTTCCTTTATCGTGTGTCCATCGGGTGTCAATTTCGGGACAGTGTGACAGGGGCTTAAGCCTGTTCCTGACCATTTTCTTGAGTAAGTTTCCCTTTATCCTATCTGCCTGCCTGATTTTGAGATCTCCACCCATTGCTGCTGATATTCATTATCGTATAACCTACATTCATGCAGTAAATTAATTAATTTCTTTACATTTTTTATTATTTATAGCTGTAAAATATGAAGGAAGGTGACCTAGGTCTTAATGGCCTACAAAACAAATGTCCAGTGAATTTAAGCCGGTATAATCTACTATAAAGTGACAAAAATGAACTCATAATTACTACAAATGTTTTCATTGGACATTGATTACTTCATAAGGGCCATCATTTAGACATAATTGTAGCCCATTTAGCTTTAAAGGAATATTTACCCAGCAATGCATACTTTCTGAATTGCTCACACAATCTCTGCAGGATGTCAGAAGAAGCTATTGACCTCAACAACAGCAAATAGAATCTCACACATGTCCACAGAAACCTCTCAAACTACTTGTGCATGGTGATGTAGGTTGGTTACAATATTGCTAACTAAACCACTTCCTCAAAAGATTCTTCAATTTTGCACGCAATAAGTTGCATGCTTCCGATTATTGATTGTTAAGGGTCTCTGCTCCTCAGCTGGTTGTAGATCATATACTTTTGTCAGGAAATGCAAAAACAAATGTGAGCACATATTTTGTTTGTCCATTTATGGCTATGGAGCAATTGGCATAAGTATAACGTAAAACATAAACCATCTTTGCAGCTTTAAATCTTTTTTGGCCTAAAATACATCAACTTAAATGATGGATAACTTCATGATCAATTATTGTCACTTTAATTCAAGGGATGTCAAATCGATAAAAAAACAAACAGAGAAGACATTTTCTCGGTGAGTTAAAGTACTCAAATCTTTAACTTAAAGGGGACCTATCATGCAAAATGCACTCTTGTACGTCTTTTATACATGAATATGTGTCCCCGGTGTGTCAGGGAACTCACCAAGTGTCAGAAAACACAACCCTCTCTCTTTTCCTCCATACCCAAATCTCTAAAAACGGGGCTGCAACGGAGCCGATTATTATATGGGCAACTCTCCACCTATCAGGGGAATGAGAGACCGCTCGAAAGCACTGGAGACGCTGTAGTAGATATGCCAGGCCTGTAGGTGGCACTGTAGTCTGCCACAAAAGCAGAATCAGCCCTTGCAAAAACAGGGCTGGAATAGAGCAAATAGAGCGAAATGAGGCATGACTAAAATGCATGATCTGTTTGGTATTTTGAAAAAGAAACTTCACAGACATGTTTTATATAGGTATGGCCCTACAATATATGTTTCAAATATAGCATGATAGGTCCACTTTAATTAAAGCAAAACCACATTAAGGGAGAAAACTCATAAAAAAAAGCAGCAATCCATTGACTTTCATTTATTATCCTGTGTTTTGATTTAAAGTACCTGGCATGTTGCCCTCCGCTTTCCCACACTGGACCCACTTGCCGCCCTGGTACCTCCAGTGGTGCTGATCCGCCAGAACCACGTCCACGGAGACGTTATAATGAGCAGATGGGTCCAGAACACTGATGTTGAAGCTCAGGAAGGGGAACATCCTCCTGGATAAACACACGGGGAGAAAAAGGATTAATCATTTTTAGCATGTATCATTATTTGTTTGTTTTGGTATTGCAAAGGAAAAAGTTACTTGACCAATTAACCAATATCTGTTTGCATTCCTTTGCATGACGTTTGTCTCCTCAACTGCTTCAAAGAAGAGAAGAACATTCATGTACTCAACACGAGGAACAGCTCAGGGCAATATTTCCCACTGGGAATTGAATGCTCAAAGTACATTTATGGGAATGTAAAATAAATGTACGACTACTACTAGGAGGATTTGACCTACTGAGATTGTGCAGTATTTTTTTTTCATTTAAAGGGGACTTTTTCTCTGTCTTGAAAGACCAAGAACGATGAAAGAATTAAAGAAGGCGTGCTTACAAATTGCAAAGTCAAAGTAATTCACGGTGTCAAATCTGAAACTATAAATGCAATAGTGCAAGCTGTTTCAGGAGAACTGTCCTATAGCTGACATGTTTATCGCAATGATGTCCTTTTAGATTAATAAGCTTTATTTGTGCAGTTTGTCCTTATTTTAGCACCTGATACTTTAAATCACTCTACATTCCCCCAACCCACAGTACCGAATATTTAATAAGTAAATCCGTTAAAAATGTAGAAAGTGAAAATGAAGTTGCACTTAATATCAAATGCAAAAACAATCCTGTGAATGGATATTCTACAATCTTGAAAGAATAGTATAAAGGAAGGCAGGGAAGTGATTTCCTCTAGCAACAAAAGGATCAAGAGTTTAGTAGAAATGGACGAGAGGTGGAGGGGATGGCTGACAGTGATGTGTGAAGGTGAATATTTAATACTGCTGTTAATAAAAGATGCCACCACAAGCTGCTCCTGATTTCTGGAGCTCTTTACATGTTGAACTTAGTTTGAACACTGAAGCCTTCAGTGAGACGAGGTAACCGGGAGGTCAGGGCGTCCCCGTGCACTGCGGCACAGTGAAGTGCTGGGTTAAACCAAGAGCAAGGGGACACACATAAATGTATAAGACATGGACACTGAATACACAAAACCACACGCCGTGATGGACATTTGTGAGTCTAAATGTAGTGTAGATAGAAAAGCTCTTAGTGCTTCAGGATAAGCAAACATGCATAGAAGCTCTTATTTTAAAAAAATGTATAAAGAGAAAGTAAACGCATCACTACGCATCAGTTTTACCAATGAGTTGTATCATCTTGCAGTAGATCGGCTTTTTGTATATTTGCTCATTTGCATTGTTGCTGAGAGGATAAAGAGCTCTTGTGGTAAATGAGAAGCTAAAGCTACCAACCTATTAGCTTAGCATAAAGACTGAAAACTAATGCCCTGACTGGGGTTATCTCTATGTGCCATGGTCTTGATTTGAACTAACATTGTAAGAAATTGGTTAGTGAAGGTGAATCTTGGATCGAATTGCAAAAAAACAAATGAAGATGGATGTTTAGAGTGCAGTTTGAATGGTAAAAATCCATTCCTCACGGTGGTGTAACATCAGTCGGCTATAAGCGGAATGTTGAGAACATTTCCAAATACATTCTTGAGATCATAAAACACTTTTTTATTGTGTCATATTACGAAGATATCAGCTTGATGGACATAGGTCCCTCGGAACATGGATATGTTTCAGGTGGCTTTGTCGAAAGGGAAACAATGCAAATAGTCTGCAGCCATACAGTAGCCTACTACTAGGTTCTTCTTCAGCTTAGTTAGCAGTGCATTGAGCTAATGCTAACATCAGTATGCCAACATGCTCACAATGACAATACTAACATTCTGATGTTAAGCAGGCGTTATATTTGCCATGTGAACAGTCTTTGTTTAGTGTGTTAGTATGCTAACATTAGCTAATCCGCCTTAAGCCAACAGTAGAGTTGATGCTCATGGGAATACATTAGCTTAATTATGTTTGGATATATGTATGTCTCTGGCATTTTCCCATGAACTAATATTGGATACATAAAACAAATTGGCCTGATGGGTAGAGAGAGGAAAAAAGGATAACCTACGTTAGAATGTATCTTGGATTGATATCTGTGCCAATATTTAATGCAATCCATCATTTGTGTACAAACAAATCAAAAAGATTCAACCTGTGGGTGGGGCTCAAAATGTTTTGGTCTGGTGCAGCCCCCATTTATTAATCATTATCCAGGTCCCTAACACCCGCCATCCTCCCCCATCAATTAAAATGGAGGCTAAGTGTTATTTCCTGAACATTAAGTCTCATAATAAACATATAATTAAATGCATAGTAATAGGTTTGATTAAACTACACAATATTGATCTTCTCATTTAACTCTGAAAGATAACAAATAAGGGTACTTCCCAAGATAAACTTGGCTCAGTGTCCAGAAGTGGGCTGATTCATTCACTTCATCCTCTACAGTATGTGTTTGCATTTGAACTTGCGCTGCACTCTGGGTCTAATATGATGTCCCCTGTGTGTAATAAATCAGGTCAACATGTTTGACATTTGGCCCAGCTGTTTGACACAGGCTAATAGCACCTGAGGCTATGGAGCATTTGTGTGATAGGCAACCAACACCACCACTGAGTTGCTACAGTGCATGGCTAAATTAGTCAATGAGTGCAAGCACTGTACACAAAAGAGAAAACAAACTTACTTTTCAGAAACGCCCTTTTCTTTCTTTTAAAACGTGTTGCTTTGGGTGGAACAGATAGATAAGATCTTATGTTTCCAGTATTTGATCTCTTGATGGTTTGTAAAACAGAGTGTAGATTTCTAAAAATAGTTCAGTTTGAAAATGCAGGCAACGCCAATGTTAAGAAGCCAATGTTGGCAGTTTAGGCAAACTACAAACACTGTGATCTCGCACTGTCTTCCCTGAAGCAGTTTGGTTTAGTGGTGTAAATACAAGGGAGGTGTGAAGAGACACTTATCCCTCCTGTTTGATAACGTTTCATAACAAACTACAGATAAACTCTAGATAAATCATTGGCAGAAGCATTGAAACACTACTCAGCCCAAACAATTCTCACATACTTGCTAAAACATTAACACTGCTATCCAAAAAGTCGAAACATTATTTATTTTTGATTGTCTTAAAGAAAATGGAATGCAAATATCACAATCTTTGAATGCATACTTTATTTGTTTCTTTGAATTTGCCTTGTTCATTCTAATTTGTGACTTTTTTTTAGACTTTATTCTGAACAGTGCCTTTGAATGACAACATGTGGAAAGAACACACACACACACACACACACACACACACACACACACACACACACACACACACACACACATACACACACACACACACACACACACACACACACACACACACACACACACACACACACACACACACACACACACACACACACACACACACACACACACACTGGTAAGACAAACCCTGCCCTGAGCAGTCCCAGTTGGGTCTTTCTGGCTACATGGCGAGTCCAGTTTAACAATCAATCATAGTTCTGGGTGAAACCGAATCGTGGCAGCAGCTCTTCACTGGCTCGCAAATAACAGGTGAAAGGTCTCCTCTTCCACTGCACAGTTTAATACAAGTGAAAACAGAAACTCTGCTGTTCAGCGTATGAATGTATCCACCCGCCTACACTGTGCGAAAGTCATCTAGAAGGAAGATGAGTAGTTATCATTTTTGCTTCGTTGATATTGTCGATTCACTAACACTAAAGCCTTTTATAGGAAATCAGAACTTGGCAGGGGGAAACCATAGAAAACACAACACAGAGAGGTATTTGCATGCGGGGGCGGCACTTGATGCACCAAATTTAGACAGGGAAGCTGAAAAACACAGTTAGTGGTGGTGGTGTGGTAAAGAAGCATACAGTCGCTTCATTGCCTTCTGACTAGTTTGACACAGTTTCCACCTCAGAGAAACCATTTTGATTGATGCACAAATCCACTTAACTAGCTTGAGCACAGGAATCAAACCTGCAGCTCCACAGCAACCAGACAGACCAACCTGCCAGGGTGCTGCTCTGATTCACTGGAAACCTTGACAGTAATGAAAACTGGCTGGCACTGTGATCCAGGTGTTTGCATACGCACATGAATACTCATAACTGTAATCTTTTCATCAGAGCAAATACCCAAAGAAACAGACGAGTGTGGTGAACCAGCCAGTAATACAGAGAGAGACACTACTGCTGGTGGTGGCGTTTAAGACCAAATCAAAATAAACTGAGTGGATGTTGGAGAGAGAGAGGAAAGGGGGGGATGGTTTGGGTAGAGAAAGAGTGTGGGAGGGGGAAACAGAGGTTAGGGAAAAGGAAAGAGCAGAGGGTGGAGCGAAGGGAGGGAGGTGGAGGGTTTGTCCTGGGGATGCACGGCAGAAGAGGAACTAGATATTCACCAGGGAGAGGACTTTTCTACATGAGTGCACCCTGATTCATCCAGACAGGAGTTCAGGTCCAGTTTTTGTCACCGTGCGTACGCTTGATCATCTGTGACGAAAACATGCCAGTCTACAGCTGCTGCCGGACACAAGCACTCTCTGACAGACACTCCTGCTTCTCTATTGACCTATTGCAGAGGAACTCAGTGCCTAACATTGGTAAAATGTAAATGTTGTTGTTCAGGATGTCATTTGATACTGCTGATTTCATGGTTCATGCTTCATTAAGGATGATGCTGGTGTTTTGTCTTTCTCTTATCTAGAAATCTGATTGAAAGACCCAAACCAACAACGTGTTTGTCTCTTTCTCAATACTTCCCCCTGGTGCCTCAACATCATTTGTAAATAATAATAAAATAGGAATACAATACAAATGTTTGTTAATTTGTCTTAAGGCTCTCCAACAGCTGGCACTGTAGCTTAGCATAAGATGTTAAAACAATAGTACATTTATTTTTGGACTATTTTCAGCAGCGGATGAATCCACATTTGTTGATCCAGTAAGTATTTGTGGAAGCAGGTTGGTGTAAGTGGGATTGAGTCAAAAATAAACGGTGTGCGTGTTCATGGTAATGAAGAAATATGTCACCCAGTGCAACAGT